GTTGAGCTTCTCATCTACTACCACCCCCAAGTCCTTCTCCTCAGGACTGCTCTCTAGCCATTCTCCCCCCTCAGCCTGTATTTGTGCTTGAGGTTGTGCTGACCCAGGTACAGGACCTTGCACTTGGCCTTGTTGAACTTCATGAGGTTGGCACTGGCTCACCTGTCCAGCCTGTCAAGGTCCCTCTGGATGGCATTCCTTCCCTCTTGGGTGTCAACTGTACCACACAGCTTGGTATCATCAGCAAACTTGCTGAGGATACACTCAATCTCACTGTCCATGTCTCCAACAATGATGTTAAACAGCACTGGTCCCTGTACTGACCCCTGAGGGACACCACCATTTGTCACCTGCCTCCATTTGGACATTGAGCCATTGACCACAGCTCTCTGGGTGCAGCCATCCAGCCAATCTCTTATCCACCGAGTGGTCCATCTGTCAAATCCATGCCTTGTCAGTTTGGAGACCAGGATGTCATGTGGGACAGTGTAAAAAAAAAAACCCTTGCACAAATCCAGGTAGATGACATCAATTGCTCTGCCACCATCCACCATCTCTGTAGCTTTGTTGTAGAAGGCCACCAGATTGGTCAGGCATGACTTGCCCTTAGTGAAGCCATGTTGGCTGTCATCAACTACCTCTTTATTTTCCATGTGCCTTAGCAAACTTTCCAGGAGGATCTGCTCCATGATTTTGCCAGGCACAGGTGAGACTGACCAGTCTGTAGTTCCCTGCTGGAAGAGTTTGCCCAGGGAAGCTGTGGATGCCCATCCCTGAAAGTGTTCAAGGACATGCTGGATGGGGTTTTGAGCAATGTGATCTAGTGGGAGGTGTCCCTGCCCATGCAGGGAGGTTGGAACTAGATGATCTTTAAGGTCCCTTCCAACCCAAACCATTCTGTGATAATTCTAAGTCTTTTGGAAAACAATATAGTACACTTATTTATAACACTAAGGACATTGCTACATTAAAATATGTTTTAAGGGCTTAAAAATATAGTACCATCGAATATGCAATTCCTAACTATTTGTTCAGTATGGTGCTGGTGAGAGTAACCTATTTGAACAACAACAGAAGGAATTGCTGCTTTGGAGATTTCTTTCCAATTGCGAAATGCTGTTAATAGAACAAAATCACACAGCCCTTCTCAATGAAAAGTGAAAAGGCAAGAGAATACAAATCTTTTCAAATTTTAAGAAACTTTCAGAAGTGGGAGTTAGATGGACCACCGGAGAGCTGCTCCCAGCGCCACACTCAGGGTCAGTTCTCTGCCCACTTACTCATCGCCACCTCAGTTCACTGTGTGACATTGAACTCACATGTTTGTGATGAAGCCTTTACAATATCTCCAATCAAAACCAAAGAGACTAGAACTGCACGAACAGCCAGCTCCTCACTGGTTCCAAATGCTCTAAGTTTTATAGCACTTGCCCCAACACTAAGCAAAGCATCATGACATTTTTGGGCAACACTAGTTGCAACAGTTAAGCAGGTGGTATAATTTAATAAACTTTCCTACTTTGATCATACTCTTCTTCATATCTTTTCCAAGCTGAAAGACTTTCACCTTCTGAAAAGCCCTTCTTGACAGAAAAAAAATAAAATTCCAGTGATTTATTTTTTTTTCAATTCCCAACACACTCTTTTTGAAATAAGAGGCCTGGGGCTACATAGTGTAGTTAAGATGCAGTCCCATGATAGATTGAGACAGCAGCTGAACCACCTCCCACGTATCTCTGTTGGCTTTCTAAATAATGCTTCCCATTTGTCCACAGGTGGAGAGATTTTTATGCATTCATTAAACCACCCACAAGGGACACCAAGACCCTTGTTTTACATGATCACAGCTACTGCAGAGCTAATGGTTGGCCATGTATTCAGACTAAGTCACTGGATAACAGAAAGAAAAAAAATGGCTAAAGAGCTTTTATTTTACTGCAAGATAAATTCAATCAGATCAATTCAGGTACGGTAAAACAAACCTGACCTCGAGTTTTACTGCAGGATTTTTCAGCAGACTGCTTTTACCAGCAGGGGGTCTTTTTGCCTAGCTGATATGCATGAACTACTAAAATTAAAAAGAAAAAAGAAGATGGCATTTTAGCACTGAAGACCAGTTCTGCGACCTAAGCTCTGACACATAGATCAGTAAATGACTCAGACATGTGAGAGAAAACTGCATATTTAATACAGTGCAAGAGTCCAAGACAGTGGATGCATTAAAGAGGCTAGAAAAACAGGCTCCACCATTTAGCAGCTGTAATTTATATGGTTTTAAAAAAGAGTAATTTAGAACAATGAAATGTCTAACATTAGCACCACTGCTGTGTTACTGAAATATTACAAAGGCATCTGGTAAACTGTATTAATGCAATATGAATTAGCATTAAATAAAAAAAACCTACTCACTTCTAGATTTTATTGATTTCCTCTCTTCCTCCAGCATAAAAAAAAAACCAAACACAAAACAACAACAACAAAAAACCATACCAAACAAAACAAAATTATAAGGTTGAGTAACACAGTATTTTTTAATATTTCAAAAGCTATTGTATGGAGTAAATCCATAATTCTCTGAAGTGGTACTCTCTGTTTCTGGAATTGTTGACTCACTCATACTCCCAGTCAGCTGAACTCACAAACACACAGGTTTAAATCAGAGAGTTGGGAGGTATTAGGCACAAAGAAGAGATATCACCTTGTGACTGGCAAACTGTCAAGAGCAGTAGACAGCAGCAGGAGAAAAAATGGCTGAGGATGTTTTGGGTGTTAAGTCATTGGCATAATATTTAGAAGCCATCAGGAAAACCAGATCGTAGGGCAGGATGCAACTGCCTTCACAGTCCAGCAGGCTGAAAAACACTGGCAATTGATCACACACATTCCAAAGCCAGTTGGGATGGGTAAGCAGAACTGCACCCGCTGTACTAGCAGTATTAATTGACGTGATGAGATGAAGTATAACTCTAGAAGTGGCGGAGGAAGAATGTGGAAAGGCAGGGGAGCCTGTGCCTGGGGCATACACTGGTCATGGGGTGACGGCCAGTTCAGAAAAGTGGTACAGTGAAGAAACAATTGAAAAATAAGAGTATACCTATTCAGAAGAAACTAATATGTTTAAAGCATGTCAAGCCTTTCTCGGATGTGATCTCACTCCTTTTTTATTGTCTCTTTGCTCACTTGTGCATGAAATACTGTTTTTTTTTCTGCCAGCTCATTAATGACACTGACAGACTCAAGTGCTCACTGCAATACCCCAGCGGATGCCCTCAAAACCCCACAGAGCTTGCCCCTTTACCCACACCCCTTATCC